TGTGATATTAAATTGGACATTAGAATGAGTAGGGAAAGAACTTGTAATTTTTAGCTGAATATTTGCTAACTTTCCAACGTTCTTATCTCAAGTTTTAAGCCCAAGTTTATTTATTTCGACTCATGTAGCTCTCTGAATACGCTGCCAGAAGAGACATGTTTTTATTGTAACAAATGATGCAGTCCTAAAAGCATCATTATATGGTTCTAACTTCAAATCATATGGACAAGAACAAAAATAGAAACCCTACTAATCACTTCAAGAGAGGAAAATGAAAAAAAGAAAAAAGAAAAAATACAGAAGTGATCAATAAGAACTAACAGCGAAGTGATAACTAATTCAGCGAAGTGTACTAATCAAAATTAATTTAATAAAAATAGTTTAATCAACAAGGTTCCTAAAACTAAGTAAATTTTAGCAAGCTAGCTAAAATCAATTTTGGAAATGTAACATTGAGGAATCCAATCTAAGACACAAAATAGGTGATGCATATAAAGAATAACTTATATCTCACTCAACTATGATATATAATTTGTTCAGAAACATAAACAGAACAAAAGGTAATTACCTTTGTTCATTGCCCCTGGAACTACCAGATTGTTGCAGATCGTTATAAGATTGTCACATTGCCTAGTCTAGCAGATTATTCCTGTATTTATAGCACAATGTCCATTTGTGTTTGATACACGATCAAATGAATGAAATTCTTAACAAGAGCTTATCTACCAAATTGGGCGACATAATCAACTACTCTGCTGGACAAATTCCAGGATAGATATCAGGTCCAAGGATGGGCCCAAGATCTAAAATGATATTATATTAAAATTTTATGATGGAGAGCTGTACCATCCGTCTACAAAGTGTTAACATGTTTATTGAATATTGGAAGAAAAAAAATTGAGAACAATAGAAAATTATATTCCTAACCTATAGCGTTGGAAGGACCTACTAGTCCCGAGTGCGATATCATTTAACTTCTTCAGATCCGAGAGACGTTGAGATTTGATAGTATTGTGATTTAAAATTATGAGAGAGTAAAAGAATACTAATGAAATATTGAAAAAAAACCCCGGGAAGGGCATTAGTCTGGTCTTGGAGGCACGATTGAAGGTTACGAGATTAACATACAGTCAAGAAAAGCTTTACTGGAATACTTTGCATGCCATATAAGCGTCAACTTCACGTCTGTTCGAAGGGCATCCCGTCAAGTCAATCACTGCTCGTTTTTCATCAGGAAGCCAACATCATCATTCATACGAGATTAGTCATATGAATTTTGATAAGTCAGTTAAATAGTAATTTTTTCGGCAGTTTTCCCTCACATCGCTGCATTTTGGTTAATGACAGAGGGCTCAGACTTTCTATTTCCCCATATTGTTTTGGAGAAAACCTATTCATAGGAGTGGAGGAACGTTGACCAAGTTTACAAAGACATAATCATAATCAAGGCTTTGTAAGGAAAAACTATATGTAAATTTAATTTGAAATCTTTTATTTATAAAAAAGTTGGTAGCATATTCTGTTGTTTTACATATATAGTTTCCCTTACAAAGCCTTATTTGATCATGTGCTTGCTACTGGAAGTTCCTTCACTGCCTATGAAGGTTTTTTCCAAGCAATATGGGAAAGAAATCTGAGCCCCGTTCATACAACAAAATCAAGGAGAGCGAAAACTGGACAAAGTTACAATTTAAGCTGACTTATCAAAATTCATTATGACTCATCTTTGAAAGATGTGATGTTGTTGCCTGATGAAAAAGCAGGGTGATTGACTTGGCGGGATGCCTTGGAAAGAACTGTGAAGGTTGAAGCTTAATGGGAACGTATTCCAGTAAAGTCCTTTTCTTGACCTATGTTAATCTCTACTTCAATCTGCCTCGCAAAGCCAGACTATATGCCCTCCCAGGGTTTTCAATTTCAATATTATTGATTCATTTTTCTTCTCATATATTTTTATCAAAATACTATTACAAATTCAACAATTTCATCAGGATTGCTGAAAAGGTTGAAATGATAGGTGGGAGAAGTAAAGTCCTTTCCTCAGCTTAGGTTAGGAATATAATTCTATTTGTTCCCATTTTTTTTTGTCGCAAATTTAATAAACATTTAAAACTTTTTAAGGATGAGCTACCATCATAAAATTTTCCACTATATAAAATATCCTCTTTGAATTGGGGCATCAATTGGCTGATCTTATTCTGGAATTTGTCCAGGAGAGTAGTGATTAGTCCGCCCCAATGGTAGCATAAACGCTCATATGTAATTTCATTCTAATTGGTGATCAACACACAAATGGAATTGTTATAAACAGGATGGACTACAGCAATGGGTTGCACAATCTGCAACGAAATTCAGATAATCAAAAAACGGTTGGCAAATGAAAGGTAATGGTACCTTTTGTTCTGCTTTGTGTTCTGACATTAATATCATAGTTTGAGTTGACGATATAGTTTATTTATATGTACTCAAGCCGTATTTTTGATTGTCTTAGATTGGATCCTAATGTTACTTTCCAAATTGATTTTTAGCTACAGCGTTTGCTAAAATTTCTTAGTTTTCAGGAACCTTTGTATGGATTAAATATTTTTTTATTAGAATTTAATTTTGGATTAGTCAATTCCTGAAGAATTATCACTTCGCTGTGTTATTATGATGCAACTATCTAGTTTTTTTTTCTTTTTCTTTTATTTCATGTTTCCGTCTCTTGAAGTTGATTAGTTGTAGTGTTTCATTTTGTTCTTTTCCATAATGATTGAAGTTTGACAACACAATATAATGAACTCTTTCTAGGAGCTTGCATAATTGTGTAGAAAGAGAAAAACATATCCTCTGGCAGCGTCAGCTAGCTCATGAGTCGGAAATAATGATAACTTGGGCTTAGAACTTGAAGAAAGAACGTGACAAGTTAAGCAAATATTCAGCGTAAAATTACAAGGTTCTTTCATCTCTTTCAATGATCCAATTGTATATCACATTTTGTCGTCTTAAAATTTCATCGCCTGAATCTCTTTTCCACTTCTAGAGAGGAACTGAAGTTGAATATAATTTCTGTCAAGAAGGAGCTGAACTTATAAAGTGGACAAGAACAAAAGTGAAGTTCTGAATTGGGTTCCTTTATTGGACATTGATGGCTATTTTGTGCATTTTGACATTATTATATAGTAAGAGTGACCATAAATTACTTTTACTCATTTTATTGAAATTCACCAATTATTTTCTCAATAGTTTTGTTACCTTTCTCTAGTTGCACGGGAAAATAAAGATCATAATCTAACTATATTTTCAGATCTAAATATATCTCAATTAGTGGAACTTACTATGACATATATATCTTGATTGCTATTTTCTTTACAAAGCAAGTGAGAGTACTAATAGCTAAATCTTAAATGTGGATAAAAAGTGGTGATAGGGTTTAGTCAAGTTTTATTGCTTAACAAAACATTCACTTGAGGTGCTGTGTGCATGCACAGGATTTTGTACTCTGGTAGAATCGTAGATAGTGCTGGGAATTTAGGGTGTGGTCCTTCAATGAAACATGAATATCTGGTAACTCTGTTCATGACATGAATTGTACTCTCCGTTAACTCAATATGTATGTTGTGTGTATATGATACCACCTGTACTGTGTAGCATCATTAATGTAACCTTCTGTGAAGAGTTCTATGATTTTAAACTGTTCTTAAGAATTTAGATCTAGGGGTTTGGGCAAAGAAGCCTACTGGTTTATTCTTTTAGATTGCATATTGCATGAAGTATGAAACACTTATGCCAATGAACGTTTCCACATTTTCTAGGAGAGTTTCTTTGTTCCATTATTTGTAAATAAGATTGGTCTTGTTTTGCATGAAAACTAATGATTGGCTTTATATAGTCTAATTGACAGTGGTATGGTTCATGTTTTTCGTAGGAGACAGAGAAGGCAATCCAATATGGAGATATTTTTCAGGTAGGTTGGCCATCATAATATATTGATCCTTGTAATCTATTTCCATTATATTATTATTTCCTTTTAGACATGAAGGAAGCGGAGAAGCAGGTTAAGATTTTTCAACAAGACGTTGTGTTGGTTTTGCATTGTGCTTGAACAGATCATTCAATAATAGGAAGGTTATACTATTTTTCCTCCTCTAAAAAGTTTCTATGTTCGCTTGGTGCACAGGAGAAGTTGGGTTATATATGCCAAAAAAAAAAAATTAACATTATTTAGGCAAGAAAGAGAGATCTGATTGGTAACACCGGTAAACCTTAGAACAGCAGAAGAATACAACGACAATCCATCAACTAACAACAGTAGCGAAAGTTGAGGTGATTGGCCGTCACATCTTGTCGGGTTTAGTCCAACTCAAAGGAGTAGGGATAGAAAGGAAATAAATAATAATCTTAACAGTCTGATGTGAGTGTTCATTGTGTTGCATTCAATGAGGTTAGTGTTTAATGTCACGCTAGTTTGGGAATACCGTGCCTGTAATAAAAGCAAGAAGTGGCCGACTTATAAATTGGTCATTTTTATGTGGGTTCTATAATTTTTAAAAGGAACTGTAGGCCAGAATTGAAGTAAGAGTTCATTGTTATATGGCTTATAAGATGGGTCGGCATTTCTAAGATTAGATAGTAATCATCTACAAAGCATGGACACTGACGCTCATTAAGTACATTCAGTGAATTAGTAGCCACAGTTAAGTGAACATCTGGTAATCGTCCTGACGAAGCCAGTCGACCTGACTCCATCCATTTCGACGTTCAAAACCACCGTAAGCCTCTCTCTCTCTCTCTCTCTTGCCTTCCCTCTCGCTCGCGTCTCTCGTTCTCTCTCTCTTGCTCTCCCTGATTAATATGTATAATATATATATATATATATATGTATGTATTTATTTAATATTAATAAAAAAGACATCTTATATAGATTGAGAGTCTTAATATTTTTGGCCTTTACTTCCCCTAACTGATAGCACAATGGGTTGTCATTAGCATGACCCCAATCTGTTACTATTGATTTGCAGATACTGTGCGTAAAGAAGCAGCCACAATAACAGCTGTATTTCCTTCTCCGAAAGATGTTATGTTGATTTTGGTTCAGGTATTCTAACAAGGAGTCCCTTCTTTTGTCCTTTATGGGTTTCATGACAGTGGACTTGGATGAAGTTTAGATACCAGGATCATATTGGTTGGCAGTTTCATAATTTTGACCAGTTTCTGTGCTTGTATGTAGCGAGTTTTGGAGCAGCGACTTACAACACTTCTTGACAAATTGTTGATAAAACCATCTCTCGCTAACCCACCTACTATGGAAAAAGGCGGACTTCTATTGGTGAGTTGAATAATTGTTAATGTTTTTGTTCTTCCTTAACCCCATTGTCCATTTGAAGATAAAGTTGGATTGTGATTTCATTTGTATTCCCCTGAGGTTACAGTATCTTAGAATGCTAGCAGTGGCATATGAGAAGACACAGGAACTTGCTAGAGAGCTACATGCTGTTGGGTGTGGTGATTTGGATGTTGAAGGTAAGAATTAAATTAAGCAAAACACTGTTAACTTTCTTTTGTATTGATCACCTGAACTTCTTGTTCAATGCTAGATTGCAAAGTTAATTAAGTAGTGATAAATAGAAGGAAGCTTTCTTGATTGAATTTACAAGAAATCCTCAGTGATAGAACCCCCTGTGCCAGGGCAACTAGTACGTGGACAAGCAGAACACCCCAATCCATTGACTTGTCAGGGGTCTGACCTTTTCATCCCTCTTCCCTAATAAAATATAATGTCTTGATTTTCTTCAAAATATTGAAAAAAGAAAAATAAAATTAGTAATTCTCCATGATGTATAGGGACAACATTAGGCAAGCCATTTTTGGAAGGAAAAGGACTCTGGTCATGCCTTTTTGGTGCCTTCTGATGCCATGCAGTACTCATGATGCTGTCAACAGAATCATGTAACTGCTTTTTCTTGTCATGGTTAGATATGTTGCAGCTGATGTGGTAGAAGCTTTGTTGGTTCCCAACAAGGAAAATGTACCCAAAGAACACCAGCCTTAGAAGGAAGAATAAAATACTTCTGCTGGATTGATGCAACTAGAATTACATGAACCTCATAATTCTGTGTTGCATAATATAAAACTGTGACCAACAAGGAAAATGTACCCGAACAGCATTAGCCTTAGAAGGAAGAATAAAATACTTCTGCCGGATTGATGTAATTGGAATGAAATTAACGTCATAACTCTGTTTTGGATAATATAAAACTGTTGGATGCTGTTTGATTTTTCATGAGTTGCTTGAATAAATGAACTTCATATGGTTTTTCTGTGCTTGGAGAAAGTCAATGAGAGGAAGACAAAATACGGTAGATTTTGGAAAATAAAGGAGTCACAAATAGATATATTGATATGATAAAGGGCATGTGGTGCAGAGTATAAGAAGCTCAGGAACTAAATTCAAAGAAACAATAATATTTGGACATTGGCATGATTTCATAGTGAAATTGATAGGAATTTTATATAATTACGTTTCTAGTATTATTTTATTATTATTTTTATGTTTTGTAGGATTTTTAGGTCAAAGGTATTTTGGTAATTTTCTTTATTGTTATCATGGCTGTAGGGGTCGCCCATGGGTCGTCTTGTGAGTCAAGTTATTTAATTGGGTTTTATTTATATTTCTTATTTAGTCTTAAATTAGTTTTAGAAATCAAATATATTATAATGGTTTCCTTTTTTTGTTATAGTTGGTTTAGGAAGTCTTCTAATTCTATGTAAAGCCATCTAATGCTTATAATTCGATAGAGTTCATATTTTAGAGAATTTTTTAGAGCTTTTGAAGCTTCTTATGGATTATGTGATGCCTAAGGGATTCTAGGAGTGATTCTTAGAACTATCTTCTTCTTCTCCTTTCTTTCTTTCTTAGATTTCAGCACTTTCACAGCCCCAGAACTGCCCTTACAGCGCTGTCCCTATTTGTCCTACATCAACATGTATGATATAACTATGATCATAATGAAAACAAGTGTAAGTGAACCTAGTGATTTTTTAATTATTGTATGTTTGCATTAGGGATATGGTAGTGACCGCAGTGTGGGTGTGTCCTGTATTTCACTTTTTCATGTCTGATGTGCTTCATGTATCACTTGGAGTGAATTTTGGTGTAGAAAAATTTCAGAGACATAATAGAAAATCAAAACAATCAGCCCTATTTTAAGTATAACACTTGTACGCTTTGACAAAAAAGAGAAGAGAAGGGGTAATACTAAATTAGAAGTTTAGAAAGAAGCTCTAAAATGAAGAAGGTTTAAGATAAGTTGGACTAAAGCTGAGTGTATGAAATGTTACTTTTGTAAAACCTGAAATACAAATGAGGTGGTAGTTACAACTGCAGGCTAATAACCAAAGTACCTAGGCTCAATTATACATACAGAGGGACAAAATGGTGATGGTGCTACTCATAAAAAAGAGGAAGAATAAATTTTTGTTTGATCTTTGACCTTTTCTTATATGTATATGTAATTAGTGTTTTATAAATGATATATTAGCATACTAACAACAAAAAACTGAAAAAGCTCAAACTAGTGGTATTGGCTTGTCAAAGCCAATCAACATGCTTACACTTCTTGTTATTGTCGGGTACTTGTGTGGGTCAATGCAAGGTATTTTTAAACCCTGAAGCTATGGGAAAAATCATCGATGTTGCAACTCTTCTGGGTAGATCTAGAGGTTTGTGCACATTTGAGCTGTAATGTTGGTTCTCTTGTTGTGCGTTTGAACGTTACCAAACTTTTAGAGATGGTGTTGCATAAGGTGGTGACATAACAGTTTATCTTCCCCGCATGTGTTCTATTTACTATCCCATGTGAACTTAAAAAAGAAGTGCCAGCATTCAACTTTGTCTCCATATATCTTGAGCTAGAGTTTGTACATCATAATTTCATCCTTAGATCAGTCTGGAATGATTGCAAGAAATAATTGTTGCAGCAGGTTTGGCATTCATTGATTGCTCTGCCAGTTCTGAGCCTATTGGAGTGCTAAACTGAGTGGTAGATTTGGGTTGTTGTGTTGTGATGGCCAATAAGAAGCCTCTTAGTTCTTCAATGGTAACTAATCCTTTTATGTATTTCTTACGCACCCTAGTTTGTTAATGGATGCCTTTTGATGTTTCTGTTTGTGATAAAGGTAATGATAGTATGTGGTTGCTGTTTGATTGTTCTGCTTACCATGACAAATTGTGGGGAAAAATTTCATATAATATTTCATTTGCTCTCTGTTGTTTGAAGAAAAGTTATTTTTTGTCTGGATTGTAGGAAGATTATGATAAGTTGCTTGCATATCCACGTCGCATTCGACATGAGTCAACTGTGAGTGTGCTTTTTACGTGGTTGGTGCAGATAGAAGTGTTTTTACACCTTGGAACATAGATAACATATGAATGTAATGGTCGGAGACTATTGTTGTGCAATAGTGAGTGGACAGATGATTATGACTTGCAGATCAAAACTGAAATTTTTGCTAATCTCTTCTTTGTCTTTTAGAGCTAATATTCAAGACTGAAATTGTGATTCAGTTGATGAAATTATACTAAATTGAAATACATTGTTGCATTCTTTCACATATTACTGCAATTACGAACCAGTTAAGATGTATAAAGTCTCTTAATGTAGGTTTAAATATTTCAGCTTGTATGCTTTCTGTTTGATGTAGAGATGGGTCTGCCAATATTAGCATTCAACCAGTTATGACTTATGAATGTCTTCCATACACTGTTTGTAAGCGGTTTGTAATAAATTCTTCAGTGGTTTTGGTGGTACTTGGAAGACACTGTAATAAATTGGAAACCTCTTTACGGAGTCTTGTTTTTAATATAAACTCTTCTAAATAGTTTTGGCCAATTAGTTGTTTCATGTACGCATGTTGTGTACCCGATATTAGGCATGGACAAACGTCGGGCTGAGCTGACATTACATGATAAGGGATTTTGTGTTTACCCAAGCTAGGCCCGGTTCGGCCCTAACATCGAGTCTCTATATATTTGTTCAAGCCTGGTTCAAAAAATAATTATAAATCTCAATCCCACTAATCGGGCTATATGTTAAAAAAAAAATTAAAATGTTCCATAATTAAATTCAATTACACATTATATTTCTTATATAAATATATTGATATCATTATAAATTGAAATTGAAAAATTGTGTGTATAAATTGAAAGACTTCTTAAATAAATTCAATCACACATCAATACAAATGTGAGTTTCAATACAATCAACAAAGATAAAGTTTAAATCCTATATATTTTAATGTATTATAAGTAATTAATTAATTTAATAACGGGCCAGGCTAGGTTGAGAGTTTAAATCCCAAGCCCAACCCATTAACATTTCGGATTTAAAATGTTGGCTCAACCCGACCATATGGACTAAAACAACTTTTCTAAGTTTTAAAAAATAGGGTTGGGCCAGTCGGGGATAGGCCAACATGCCGATATCCACCCCTATCCAACGGGCCAACAGCTTTATCGGTAAGCATACTCGTACCACACCGTACTGGATAAGTATCTGTAATCATACAACATATAATATTTTTAGAGTACCCATATTTGATAGGTTATAGTTAACCCTGTGTTGACTCTTAATTTTGAATGGGTAATGTTGTATTCTGGTGACTGCACAGCAAAATTCACGATTCTGTCTAATATGATGCCACTTGCTATGCACTTGAAAATCGGGGAGCAGTATGTGAAATGTTTTTACCTCAAGCAAATAGAAAGTTGTGATCAACCAGACAAAAGAGTAGGACATGTAGTTGCTACTGATACTTGCTTTAGGAATTTCTCCATCTGCATGAATCCTCACATTATCATTGAAAACCAAAAATGAAAAAAAATAAAAATAAATAAAAAAGTTAGAAAGGGAGGAGATGACCAAATAGAGATTGTTTATCATCTCAGGTAATGTGAAGTATACTATTCAACCTAATGGTAAAGTATATGTCGAAGGACTGGTGGGAAATGTTGCAATGTTGAAGGATATGCCGAATCCGTTTGAAATGAAAGTTGAACAACTGTGTCCAAGTGGACCCTTCCATGTTACCTTTGATTTGCCTGGACCTGTTGACCCCAGGCTATGTTCTCCCAATTTTAGGCCTGATGGTATCCTGGAAGTTGTTGTCAAAGCCAAGAAACCATGATTGTTGCCTTTCTCAAGCTTTGTTGGAATCCCATGAGCTGTGTTATATAGCTTCTGAGTTGTTTTATTTCCACCAATGATCCCATCTTGGACAGGATCGCGTTTCTCTTTATAGAAACGCAATTCTTACACGTTTCTTTCTAAGAAACGCGGAATCGCGTTTCTTACGAAGATTCATCACCTGGTTGCACGATTCCTGCAACCAAGACACAAACGTACCTAGTATGTACCCAAACCGTACCATATCGTACCATACCTTAGTAAAAATAATATTTCATTTTACTATAGAGATTAAATTTCTTTCAGTAGATTTCTTTTTAATTTTTAATTTTATACTTAGCATGATTTTAAAATAAGCTATGATTTGTAAGTTATTTAATATAATGATATTTAGTTTTGGTTTATACCTTTACTTTTGACATTAAATGTTAATTGTATGTTGGATCTTAACAAATTAAACCATTTAATCAATTTTTGCATTACTCCAAACTAAAAATAAATATTTTTTTACAAACGTGCTAAGCCGTATCCATACCTTACTTTTTTCCAAATTTTAACATATCGACGTACCCATATCGTACAGGTATCAGTACTTGTACCCATGCCAGTGCTTCATAGTTGAAGCCTCAGTTAGTAGTCTAGGAAGCATGGCTAATGGTTCATTATGGGTATGCCTATACGGAAAAATCTAAAAAAAAATAAGAAAAAGAGATAAATGAACAGTTAGTTATGTGATAAGAAAAAAAAAATTGTTATTTG